CCCGCTCCCTCTCCGGCCGCGGAGCCGCGCTCAGCTGTCCCGCCGGCAGCCGCCTCCGGCCCGGCCCGGCCTGGCCCGGCCCGGCCTGTCCCGGCGCGCTGCGGCCTTCCCGCGCGCCTCAGTCCTCCTCGGAGCTCTCCTCCGACTTCTCGTCGGCCGCCACTTTCCAGTTCTTCCTCTTGCTCTTCTTCTCCGGCACTTCGCTGGCTCTCTCCGACGCAGAGCTGTGACGTTTCTTCCTCTTTTTGGGCGGGCCTTTCTCTTTTCTCTCCTCGGAGTTGCTGTCCTCGGAGCTGCTGGTGCTTGAGCTGCTTGCGTGGGAAAAGTCACTTTCCTGCCCCGACGAAGAGGCAGGTTTCCTGGCAGGCACTTTCTTGGTCTTTTTCTTGCGCTTGTGTTTGCCTTTCCGGGTGCTCAAAGTCTCCTCGGAGCACTCGCTCTCCTGGGAAGAGTCTGATGATGTTCTCGCCTCGTCCTTTTTCTTTTTCTTCCGCTTCTTGTGTGACCGTTTCTTTTGTTTCTTCTTGTGCGATTTCTTTGTTTTCTTCCGTTTGTGCGACTCGCGGGCAGGCTGCTTTCCCAGGTGAGATTTCTTCTTCCCATTCACAGCATTTTGCTCCTCTCCTTCTTGCTGGTCACTGTAAGAAGAGCAAGCGTCACCAGAAAGAAGCACATAGACGGCTTAACTCAGTAGTTTCTGCCTTAGCAAGTAATGCCAGCGTCCTTAGGACATGCTCTGCATTTGTTCTGAACTTAAAAATAAACCCCCATGAAAGCACTAGAGTTGTCCAGGGGGATCTTTACGGCTAGAGCAGTAAAGGGTGATCCGTAGCCAACACCAAAAGCTCCATTTGTAGAAAGCCCTGCACGACCTGGCAGAAGCAAGATTCAGAATACCTCAGCGAGCCTCTTTGCCTTACCTGTCCGTGTCAAATTCTTCAGGGTATAACTCTTTGTAGCCACTGTGACCCCATCTGTAAGGGAGCATAAACACCTGTCAGGAACAGATTTTTTAGAAAAATAAAAGGAAGTAAATAAAGCTCTGAAGAAGCTGCAGCCACAAGATGAGCATGGGTTTGGAGAGCAAAGAAGAATTGTCGTGAGAACCTTCTCAATAAAGAGGGAAGGAAAAGCCACAAACCCGGATGGTACTATTTAAACGCACACGATGTTCTCAGTGTCCTTCCCATTTCAGATTAGGGAAATGGCACAACTGCCATTCCTTTTAAATAGCCAAGACCACTATCTGCATTTATCAACACTTTCTTTTTTTTTTTTCCAATTCCTTGGGCAAAGCTATAAACACAAGCTTAACAATTCTACGGATTAACTAAAATGTCAGCATTCTGTGGCAACACAGGAGTTTGGGCATCTTGGTTGCTCAGTCCCAAAGCAACCACTATTTCATAGGTGTACATATTGGAACTGTACCAACTCTTCCAGGAAGGTGTTCTGGTTATAATTTCGGGGCATTAATTCCCCCACAGACCTGTCTGGCAAGTTGGCCTCACACTCATAGAGCTTTCTGTTCCAGGAGCGGGCCCGAAGCAGGTCATCCTCGATGGGGTCAAGGAAGTGGGAGTTCCTGGTCCTCCAGTCGGGCCTGTGGCTGTCCTCGTCGAAGCCGTCACTGCGCATGCGGCTGCTGCAGAGAGAGAGCAGTTGCCTTCAGCGGTCAGGCCTGGCGGGGGTCGGCGCGGCCCGCCTCGGAGGCGCATCTGCGCCAGCAGACTGGCCAGCCCTTGCACTGGCAGGCGGCAGCGCGAGCTCACACGAGGCCAGCTCCGTGCCTGGCACCGCTTCCCACGTTTGCTGCTGCTGCTGCTCTCTATGCACAGCAACGTTCTTGCCAAGCAGCGATGCTCACAGCACTCAAAAGTGCTCCCTCTTTACCTTCCCCGCCACCAGAACTGCAGTCTCTTCCTCCCGGATGCTCTGCGGGAGCAGGCTAACAAAATGCAGCACGACACAAGCTGTGAAAAGCAGCAGATGGGCCACTCGGGGAGTAGAAATGACCTACAGGAAATGGACCCTGCTCGGGTATCAGCACTGAGACTCCCAATCCAACCAAAGGCATCATCTGTTTCCAGTGCTCTCCCGTGCCCGCGGCCGTAGTTTGGTTTCCCACTTAAAGGGAGGCATTTCCCGAGCCAGGCCACACCAGTAGCCCCAGTGCAGGTGGGAAAGCGCTCCCTCCCAGGAAACTGGGCCCGCTTCCTGCAGCAGCCACCCCACTGACAAGTGAAAATCCAATGCAGCAAACCACACCAACCACGGCCTCCCTATATTACACAGTCATGACACACTGCGCTTCAAATATTCCCAAAACCTCATTTAGCATTATGACCCTATTATGAACTAACACGAACTGTTAAACCAAGGCGGCTGTTTCCCTGCCCCGGCTAAAGCCTACCTGGAGGTGTCGCTCAGCGTTCTGCTTTGCCTTCTCCAGTAGGTCTCCTCCGCCTGCTTCTCCCACTCCCGTATCTTCCACATTTCCGACTCTTCCTGGATCTGTAAGTCGTAACAAGGAAGCGAGCTGTGTCCTTCCCCGCCCGGGGGCCCTCGCAGCGCGGCACTGCGCAGTGCCCGCTCCTCCCGCCGCTCCCGCTTCCAGCGGGGCCCAAAGGCGCCGAGCCCTCGGCGGCGGCGCCTTGGCAGAGCCAGCGGCGCGGCAGCGGCACGCGCGGCGCTGCACGTGGAGCTCCCGTGGCCGCAGTGAGCCCTCGCCGCCGGGCAGCCAGGGCGCAGCCGAGCCCGCGGGCGCGCCGGGAGGAGGCCGCGGCGCCG